TCAGGCTGACTTGAGCTCATATCTAGCTGTATGACCCGGGGCAAGTCACCTAACCGGTCTGCCTTAGTTTCCTCAACTGTAAAATGGGGATAATAACAGCACCTACTTCCCAAGGTTGGCATAATAAAATGAGATAATATTTGTAAAGTATAAATGCTAGTTGTTACCATTACAGTCATCTACCACCTCCAATACTCAACCTTTCCTGTGACAAAGAAAAGCAAAAATATCTGATTTACAAACTTACCTAACAATGTAGAGAATATTCTGTCGTAGTAGATGTTACCTGTCCACTCTACCTCCCACAACACACAACCCCTTCTACTCTGAGGATGAAGTTATATATGTCTCATGACCTCTTCTCTGGCACTTCTCTTGGTTTTTCCATCACTCAGAGGTCAATTTCCTTTTACTGATCTTTTCATTTATCTCATTGGAAGTCATTGTGTATTTTATTCTTTTGATTCTGCTTATTTTGCTCTACATCAGTTCATACAAATCTCATATTTTTATGATTTCCTCAAATTTATAATTCCTTAGTGTGTAATATTCCTTTACATTTATATACCTTAGTTTTTTCCTGCCATTCCCCAATGGATGGACATTCACTTTGTTTACTGTTCTTTGCTACCACCAAGAGCTACTATGAATATTTTGGTATATGATTTCTAATTTCCCTTCCAGACCAATATGCTCTGACTCTATGGCACTTGAAAATCCAGTAAATTTCCCCAGGTGGTCTATGCAACTTGCAGTCTTAGTTGATATAAATCAACCCCAAAGCTGCCAAATTCTCTTTCACTCCTTCCCTTTTGACTCTACAAATTCAAGGTACTTTCAGGATTGTCCTTACATAAATATAATGTTCATTCAGAGGTTACCTTGCCCCTTTAAAAGCTTCTCCATCTGCTTGATGATACCCAACATTCCCAGGTCCTATGGTTCCCCAACAGCAACTGAAAAGAACAATGATGACAGTTCAAAAGAAATTTCTGAGTCAGTAAAATGCCAGCCTAGAGACTGCTCCAGCACTAGTGGCAAACAGACAAATTAACTCATTAGCAGGATATAGAAAACAGTGAGCAAGCTCTTTTTTTTCCTTTCTTTTTTTAAAGGATATATCCTCCTGCTTCCTCTGCTCCTCCCCTTTATGGAGCTTTCAACCTGGGAAAGATTCATGAGACCTCAGTAAGCAGAGAATATACGTATTGAGAAAAGGATGCGTGGTGACAAAACCAAGCATTGAGATGCACTCAATTTTTCCCTTTCTAAAATGCATCCTGGGAAACCTGGAGTCTTACAAAGGGTAGTCCCAAATCTCAGAGAATGAGCAAGTGATTTTTTGCAAGGCTGATATATAATGTTTCTTTTTTCTTTTGGAATAGTGTATAAGCTAAAGGGGGAAAATGGAGCTTGTCTATGCCCCCAAAGGCTCTCTTCTGATTAGCATATCCATCAATGCACATTTATGAACAACAATAATAATAGCTTTTAAAAATATTACAAAAAAATGTATTCCAAATTTAACAACCACTAAATAAAATGAGCATTTATATATACATAGTAGAATAGAAAAAAGATTGCATTTGAAACTGCAGGTCTCTATTATGTACAGCTTGCTTTTCTTTTTAAGTATGTAAGTCCAGTCTTACGGCTCTTTTCAAAGTATTTTCACAAAATAGTTCCTGACCTCAAGGAGCTTAAATTCCAACTGGGAGAGGGGGGAGGAGTGCACAGGGTAGACACTATATATACAGAACTTCAGATTGACTAAATGATTACTATTCCCCTATAAAACTCTGTAAAATGTTCAGTGTCAAACATACACTCTACAAATAAATCATTTTGACTATTATAAATGCCCAAATTAACCCCAAAGGATACATGAAAGAAGACACTATCTGCATTCAGAGAAAGAACTGATAAATGGAAGTTTGTTTAGAATGATTTTATATATACATATACATACATGTCTAATGGTAGTCATCTAGGAGGGAGAGGAAAGAATAAAAGGACAAAGAAATTTACATAACTTTATTATATATTTAAAAGGAATAGCAAGTTGTATATAATAGATTTGAAGTTTCATGTGCAAAATCATCTTTTTTTAAATTATACTATGTTATGGAAATGCTTGTTTCATTCCATGAATTAAAAATAAATAAAACTTTTTAAATTTAAAAAGTATACACTGTGCTAGGTTTATATGGAATTACAATTTTTCTTACTATGCTATTTCATTAAATTCCTTTGTTTTCAACCAAAAAAAATATACACTCTATGTTACAGAGGTCTACTGGGGTCTTTCCTCTTTGACCTATCTCTTTTCTGGCTAGCAGCAAGAGAGTAGCCTCCAGCCCAGGGGTGGGGAACCTATGGCCTCAAGGCCACATGTAGCCTTCTAGGTCCTTGCAGCCTTTTGACTGAGCCCAAGTTTTACAGAACAAATCCTTTTATTAAGGGGATTTGTTCTGTAAATGTTTGGATTCAGTCAAAGGGCTGCAACCTGGACTACCTATATACACCCTAAGTTATCCCTTCCCTGGTCTGGGCCATCACCAGTCATATTGACTTATGTCTTGCCACTGGACTCCAAAGACTCTGGAAGACAGAATGAGGCTCTGCCTCACAAATCCAATTCACTCGTAAGTCAAGACGTCACCCTTGTGATGTTACTGGTGCTCTTTGAGAATGAAGGATGAACAACAACAATCCCTTCTCTGGTCCTCTTCTTACTCTGTTCCTAATTTCTAAAACGCTTCACCCCCTTCTTTCTCGTCCTCACCCATTGGATTCTTGCCCTTCCTTTAAAACCTGACTCCAATGTCATATTCTCTAGGAAGTCTTCCCTGATCCTGCCAATCACTAATGATTTTCCCCAACTGAAACTTTGCCGTAGGACATGTTCCGTTCTCGCAGCAGGTCATTGAAGATCAATTCTCTACAAGTGGAGGGAAAGTCCTCATTGGGAGAGCCTCCGAGAGATGTAGGAACCAAGGACATTTTAACAAGACAATGTTGTTGGTTTTCCCCCGTAGTGCTAGAGGAGAAACATCATCAGAATCAAAACAAGGATAATAGAGGCACCCTAAGAGCATGACTTTTAAAAAAAGAGTTTGAACAAGGACTTCAAAAGACAGAGAGAGAGAACGACATAGAGGAGGCTGGCATAGCTGGTGTTTGAGCAGTCACCTTTATCTGTCAAGCCCCTAAAGATGAGTGTGACTCAAGTAGAATGATACTTATAAAACTTTTCTCTCTGGGAGGTCTGATAAAGAAAGGTAACATGCCATGTCTCTCCTTTTCCCCTTCCTAGGTCAGGCAGCAGATGTAAAATCCAAAGTTTTCTTGTTCTTCAAAATATGTTTACAATTTTCATTTAGGTTTTTAATCTGCCAGCTATATAAAGTGATTGATCAAAGTTACTTATTATCTGTCTGTGTGCTTCATTATTTGTGACTAAGGAGTCATAAAAAGAAAAGCAGTGAGGAGAGAGAGAAAGACAGAGAGAGAGAGACAGAGACAGAGACAGAAAGAGAAAGAAATTCTCTCTGAATGGGGGAGGGGAAGGGGGGAAGAAAAGTAAATCTCTCTGACTAGGGATTCAGGAACTATGTGAGAGTCAGTCTTATTAATTTTTAAATATTTTAATATCAAAATCCCAAGGCAGCATAAGACTTGAGCCCAGGGTTGTACCTTAGGTGAAAGCAAGCCAGTAATCACAGCTGTCTGGGAGAAGGGGGCCTGCTTCTTTAAAGCATGCTACGTTCTCCATTGTTCCCCTTCTAGGAAGGCTCAGAGGAACCCTCTGCCAAGATGGAGATGAGGGTGGAGATTAGAGAACGGATCATGCCCCATAGGAGGAGAAAAGGAGAGGCTGGAAAAGACTAGTAATACCCACATTCCAAAGGTGGGGGGGCCAGAGGAAAGTGAGATTCCTATGCTTCCCTTCCTAACAGCTCACCAGATGACTTTGCTGCCTCATTCAAACAACTTTCACACCCAGCTGCACATTTATGCAATTAACTCATATTATCTTGTGTTAAAGTGATTTATTTGCATATATGTATCATATCCGTCCCTAAACTCAGATCCTAAAGTTCCTAAAGGGTAGGGACCATGTCTTATCTTAACTTTATATTTTCCTCACTCCCCATGCTCAGTCAATCAACCAATCATTTATTGAGCATTTACTGAGCACTTACTGTGTGCCCAGAACTGTGCTGGGGACCAGAAATACAAAGACAATAAATGAAACAATCTCTCCTTGTATTGTAACCAGGGAGACAAGGATATATATATGTGTGTGTATGTATTATGTGTGTGTGTGTGTGTATATATATATATATATATATATATGTATATATATGTGTGTGTGTGTGCGTGTGTGTGTATGTGTGTGTGTGTATATACATATATATGTAAAGAGAGAGAGAGTGAATAAATTCAACTAGGTTGTTTTGGTTTGTTTGTTTGTTTGTTTGTATATTTTAATCAGAATCCTTCCCCTGGATCAGAGAGGGTTAGAGGAGGCTACAGAAGAAATAGGAGAAACAGAATGACATGTCATCTCTCCTAGCTGCAGCTTTGGCCAATGATGGTCATAGATAAAAAGGCACAGTTAAAATTAGACCAGTAGCACCTACTGATTGATATACCAGCAATGAAGAACTAAGGTCTACTGAGGGCACACGGAGGCATTTGGACTGGAGGGCAGTGTATTTAATAAATGACCTGCCTACCGAGTTTCTCCTCCTTTCTCTAGGCAAAGACCTCTGATAGAAAACAGCTGCTCTTTCCAGCAGCTTTCCTTGTTAAACAACAACCTAGTTGTAACAGACTGCTAGTAAATACAGGAGAAGGAAAAAGCTCGTAAGCTGAGCCTGGTCACATTGCCGAGTGTGATATAGTTTTATTTTTAACATCCAGGCACTTGAGCTATTTCTGCAGAAGTTTTCTCTCAGCCTCCCCTTATTCTCAGCCTCCCCTAGGGCACTGCTTCTCTTTTCATCAACTGTCTGCTCGAAGCCAGGAGACCCACATGTGGTAGATATCATTGCAGGGGATATATGACTAAGGTAAGACTTTTCAAAGGGGAAGGACTAAGCCAATGCAATCTTTGTTCGCAGACATCAAAAGACACCAGAAGATCTTTAAAACTTGACTCAGCACATCTGAAATGAGGATGGTGGGATTGTGGGTCGGGGGGGGGGGGGGGAGGAGGCAGTATAAAATTGTGTTCTGTACTCTCTAGGATCCCAAACATACCCTAAACAAACTAATATCAGTAAGAGAGGTTGTGAGGGAGGGGACTTAAAAGAAGAATTTTTTTTTTAAGAATTCATTTTGAATCCTAGCTCTTAGAGTGAGAAGGGACTGAAAGACTCATCCTTCTGCTTACAAGGAATCACTCTCAATTTTTATAACCCTTTAAAGCTTACAAAGCACTTTAAAATTATTTTGTTGACATATCTTTTGTTCTTACCTCACTATCATTTCTGAATATACCCTTCCCTACCTCCACCCAGTGAGTGTCCCTTTGTAACAATGAAGAAAAAAGAAGTTAGCTGGGGTTAATTATCCTGTCTGGATCAGTAATCCTGAAATACATCTGCTTGGTCTGAGAGTAGCTATAACATTGCATAGTGACAGTCCTCCACCTCTCTAAGGAAAGGAGGAAGGTTAATCTTGTCATCTCTTCTCCAGGGCTAAGCTTAGTCAATAGAACTTATCACAGTGTACATTTCATTATCTTGTTCTTTCCCTTTAACTGTAATATCATTGTGCGTACTCTTCATTTGTTTCTGACAAAGTCCTTTCTAGTGAAATAGATTAGACAGGTATTACTATCCCCATTTTGCAGATAAGGAGACAGGTAAGATATAAAATAATAAACTGGGCAGCTAGGTGATCTAATGGATAGAGCACTGGGCTGGGAAATCAGGAAGACTCATTGTCCTGAGTTCAAATTCTGCCTCAGAAACTCACTAGCTGTGTGACCCCGGGCAAGTTGCTTAACCCAGTTTGCCTCAGTTTCATCATCTGTAAAATGAGCTGGAGAAGGCAAACCACTCCAGTATCTCTGCCAAGAAAACTCCAAATGGGGTCACAAAGAGTTGAATGTGACTGAAACAGCTCAATAACAGCAATAAAAGGAGACACTTTACAGATCAACTAATCCTGCCCTCTCATTTTACCTGGGAAGACTTGAATTCAGGTAAGTCCAGACTGACTCATACTGGTGGTGGTGGTTGTTTTGTCCTTCATTCTCGAAGAGGACCATGACATCAGGAAGGTGATGCCATGACTTGAAAGTGAATTGAATTTAAGTGAGGGAGGGCTGTGCAGAGTCACCAGCCTCATTCTCTCCTCCAGAGCCATCTGGGTCCAGTGGCAAGATATAGATCAGGATGACTGGAGGTGGCCCTGGATGCAATGGGAGACCTTGGCCTTTTTAAGCTAAGGTCTATCCCAGGTCTCAGTTTGACTGAGGCAATGCCCATTCAGTGATTAAGGCCAGGTAAGAAGAAATGAGGCAAAGAATGGCCTCTTTAACCTAGTTAAAAAAAATCAGTCTGGGAGGGGAAGACCCACAAGGTTTTTGGCCAAAACAGAAACAATTGCTATTTACACTCACTCTGAGCCATCAGGACCCAAACAGTGACCAAGTGAGGCTTGGGCTGGGACTTATTGTTGGCCAATCAATGAGAACCAGAGGGATTGGGGTCTAAGGCATGGTCCTTAAGAAAGAAATCTAGCACCAGAGGGTAAGGGTCTCTGAACACATAGGACATGCTGGTTGTATGAGCCTAGGCAAGTCTTCCAATCTCAAAAGCTCTAGGCAACTCTTTGAGAAGGTATAGACTTGCATTGCTGGAGACTGTTTTCTCATCTGAAAATTCACTGTACCAATAAAATGACAGATGGAAAGAGACAGCTTCTATCCAATTTCTATAGATTGTAATTGAATCCCAGAGAGAAGTGACTTTCCTAAAGTATCCAGTAAGTAGGGACAGGGGACTAGAACCCAAGTTTCCTATCTTTTACTGCCACCATCTTTCCACTACACTGAAGTCTATGGCAATTTATAAATTTAGAGCCAGAAATGACCTTAGAGTCACCCAGTCCAATGCATCATTTCAGAGATGAGCAATCTGGGACCCAGAGAGACTGACTTGCCCAAGGTCACAAAGCTAGCAAGGGGCAGAGCCAGGCTTCAAACCCAAGCTCTCTAATGAAAAATCCACTGTTCTTTCAACTATCCAAGCTCCAGATCTTTAATATCTAGGCCATATCAGGTCCTCTAAAGATCTCCGCCAAGAAATATTTAGCAAACCTAATTTGGGATAACTGTATGCCTGAAAGCAATAAAAGTACATTTTCTAAACAAAATTCTGTAATCCAAATAATTGAAGATCTAGGTATGTACAACATACTTGAAGCCCCAGGCAAGGGACAATGATCAAATGACTGAAACTGACAAATGCTTCACAGGGATGAAAGGAAAAAGACTTGAAGGACTTTTAGATATTAATGACCCAGGGTGTTGAGGACCTTTTAAATATAATTAGATAATTCCTGCCTTTGCTCTGGGAAGTGGACTTATCGAATGACTGGAGTGCTATGTTGGATTTCTTGCTTTATCAAAACTTTGATTTAGTGTCATTGAGCTGAGGTTCTTCTGAGGGCTTGTGACCAACTGGCATGTGTAATGCAAGGGATGCTTAGGATGTTGGTAGGAACATGGGATCCAACTATTTGGTTTGCTCTTTAAAAAGAAGGATGTTGGACTTAGATAATCCTAAGGTCCCATAGGCTAACTCGAGCAAAGCAAAACCGAGGAACAATGCAAAGACTCAGATGATTTAGGCATCAGCATTCCCAATAACCACCTATTCTCTGTTCCTCTGTTTGGAGGTATGACAGAGGAAAAGGGATTTGAGACGTGAATCATTGCTACCAAAATAGATCATCTTCACCATATATTTATTTAACTCTCTAATGGATTTTATGGTCAGCTAGGTGGCCCAATGGATAAAGCTCTGGGCTTTATCAGTCAGGAAGACCTGAGTTTAAATCTGGCCTCAGATACTTACTAGCTGTCACTCTTAACCCTGTTTGCCTTAGTTTCCTCATATGTAAAGTGAGCTGGAAAAGGAAATGCCAAACCACTCCAGTATCTTTGCAAGAAAACCCCAAATGCGCTCATGAAGAGTCAGACACAATTGAACAACAACAACTAATAATAATAATAATACTGGATTTTATCTGAATGGAGGAATCCAAGGCTTTAAGGAAGTGTGCAATGAGCTCCTTGTAACACAAGATGTAGGAAGAGCACTATATTTGAAGCTAGAAAAACTGGGTTCAAGTCCTCACTTTGTCATTTAATAGCTATGTGACCCTTGGGCAAGTAACTTGACCTCTCTGAGTTATTCTTATGTAAATGAAGATAAAAATATTTGTACAACTCGTGGTTGTCATGAGGATCAAATGGGATAATATATATGGAAGTGTTGTGTAATTTCTCAAGCACTTGATAAATGTCAGCTATTATTATGACTGCCCTGGTCACAGAACCTCAACAAAGGGCGTATGGCTCCATAGACCAAGGCAGGAACCTAGGTGCTCACAAGACCATTATTTGGGTACCATCTTCCTCTCCTTACATGACCTTTAGCTACACATAAAGCAGCCACATGACCAGTAACTACCTTGGCCAAAACAAAGGAGATTATACAAATAAAATGACATGAAGGCATGAACAAAATAATATAGTGAGAGCCAGCATAGCATAGCTGATAGGGGGTCAGTTTGAGAGTCAGGAAGGTTTGTGTATCTGTGTGAAACTCTCTAAGACTATAAGTTTTAGGGAAATAGTCAATCTGCATTTTGGAGAAAGTTTTCTAAATGGGAACTCCTCACACTGGTGAAATCACAGATCTGGTTTTAAAAAAAAAAAGATACAACAATTGATATAAGAATTAGCAAATTTAAAAATGAAAAGGCAAAGAGATTCCTAGTACAGATGGAAAGCTAAAGATGGTACTGTGCAAACTATCTGGTTGGCTGTGACAATGATGCTTTGAGATTGTTGTCAGTGGAGGGAAGATGGGAAGTCAGTCTAGAGAGGCCATGTTGATGTCATGGCCCAGTAAGGCAAAATTACTGATGCAGACATGAGAATTAGCTCCAGCTAACTAGTTAAAAGCTAAAGGAACCTCTTCTATGTTTAACTTATTAACGGAAGCTAATTATAATAGTCAAGCCCAACTTTGCATATCAGCAGAATGATCAGCCACAGATCGATTTTTGAATGATTTGAAGAGGACAGAGAACTCTCCTTCCCCCAAAATAGTTTCCCCTATGCCTGCCACTATTAAATCTGCAATGCCAATTCTATTTTAATTTACTCAAAGGTATCTGTCTTTCTGCTCCCACCAGTCAGTTCCTCAGACCCTTGTCACTTCCTTGTTTGGGTTTTGTCATTAGACCTATCCAAGATAGATTCACTTTCTTTATCAATCCCACTCCCAGGGAACAAGTAGCTCTCTGCCTAGATTTTTAAGCTCCTCGAGAGTTCATAATAAATTCTCCATCTCTTCTCTTTCTCTGACAAAATTCTAGCAGCTTTCAGAATCATTCTAGAACATGCTGGTTTCTTTTTAACCTAAAAAAAGAGGTGATGTTAATTTAATTAGGCTAAACCATCATTCCAGAGGACCAATAATAAGGGGTCCTACCTATTTACTGACAGAGAGGTAATGGTCTTGGGGTGCAAAATGAGACGTATTTTTTGGACATTACCAATGTGGGAATTTGTTTTGCTCAACTATACTTGTCACAAGGGTATTGTTTTTCTTTTTGTCCAATATGGGAAGGAAGGTAAGGGGGAGAAGACATAGATTTTTATTAATTGAAAAAATTAAATTTCCAAAAAATTTAAGTAGGCTAGAGGAAAAAAATTATGTTCTCTGCTTTTGGCCCACAATTTTCAAACTCTGTCAAAAATTTCTGCGTACATTCCAACCCTGGGACCATTCCAACATCCTCTCTCTCAACAATTTCAAATTCTTTA